CATAATCCCATTCTATTATTCATGAGAACTGCATTTATATTATTCTTTTCCTTTTTAAAATGCATTGCAATAAATTCATTTGCCTTCTGAAAATATTAATTATGCTTCATTTCCATTTTGGTTTTTTGTGGTGATGGTGGTGGGGTTTGAACTGAGGACCAACATGCTTGCTACTTGCTAGGCAGGAGCTCTATCACTTGAGCCACACCCACAACCCAAATTAGGATTCATTTTTGTAAAGCACTCAGATGTTCACAAAAGTTCTACCCCACAGTGACTTACTCAGTGTTTATATCATGACAACCCTGAAGATAGGCACCATTACCTTCACTTGACAGACAAGGAAAACAAAATTCAGAAGGTTTCTATAATAAAATTAACCAAAATGTGACATGACTTCTTTTGACTCCTGATTAGTGGTCTTTGTTTGCACTTCACCACCATCAGCTCATTCACAGTAGTTGAGATCTCAAATAAAAAGCTTAGGTCCTCTCAGCATTACAGTAGACATGATGGAACTTTTGAGGATGTCACTAGCCAGATATAACGTAGGGGAAAGTGTTATAAGGAGTTAGGTCAGCTCTATAGATAAAAGGCTGGAGAGATTAGGCGTTCCAAAGAGAAAACCCCAATGGGCAAATTTAAGGTATCTCAGGCACAGGGAAGCTGCATTAGTACTAGCAACTTATCCCCTAAGAGCAATACCCTCATGGAAATAACTGGACTTATCATAAAGAGAGAGTCTATAGGCAGAGTACTGTTATCTTTGAGACTGAATGATCTCTGTGGTAGAAGAAACAGTAACCTCATATTCAGTCAGTTCTAACATTCTAATGTATACCAGATGACATGACCATTGCCAAAGGGAGCCTATAGTCTTTTTGGAACAGTTATCTAAATCTTGGACTAACTCCTCAGCAATCTTTACATTTTCTGTCACTTTTTTCCTACTTGCCATAGCACAGTTCAATCGTGGTCTCTTCATAACTTCACTTACCCCTTATGTGCATATGTCTTCCAAGTTCTATTCCCATGCCCAATAGCTGCACATTGATGAATCTGACCCATTCCTGTTTACCAATGGGAAGTATATTAGGGTTTTTCCACCAGGATTGACCCTACTTTGTATCTGGAAGTGTTAAAGGAGGAAACATAGGAAAGACAAAAGTATTGAGCTAAAACTGAAGACTGAAGGGAAGCAGTAAAAGTGCATGCCCAAGGGGCAAAGACATCAGTGTAAATGACTCATAAGAGGGAAATGAGCTGACTACCAACACCAGGACATCAGAAGGAAAGGCATGACCTTCCAAGGGGAAGAGATTACACTTGGCGAGATTCCAGCAGCGAACAACCAAACAGATGAAGGACAAAATAACTTACACTAGAAAGACTAATTAGAATGTACAGGCCCATAGGAAAAAAATGGAGAACATACCCAAATGTTAAGAAATGAGGGAAGTACTAAGTGCCTGGACAGAAAAAGGCAAGATGAAATTAAACAGAAATAGTTTACTGGAATAGGTAACCAAAGAAATGAAGGATAGTAGAAAATGATACTATGTCAGGAGTGGTAGCACACACCTTACTCAAGAAGTGGAGATTTGGAAATTGGGAGAATCATGGTTCAAGGCCAACCCAGGCAAAAATTTAGTGAGACCCCATCTCAACAAATAAGCTGAGCATGGTGGCATATATCTGTGAACCCAGCAAAGTGGGAGGACATAGGTAGGTGAATGGATGGTGGTACAAGCCAGTCCCAGGCCAAAATTCAAATCCTTATCTAAAAAAATAACCTAAAAACCAAAAAGCACTGGAGGCATGGCTCAAGTGGCAGAGCGACTGCTTGCCTAGCAAGTGCAAGGCTCTGAGTTCAAATCTCATATCTCAAAAAGAAAAGGAGTTGTTAAGTGCAAAGTTAACACAGACACACTGAATTGGAATCTCTGAGTATGGTAGCAGGTGTATGTATAGACTCTGCAAGCTTGCCAAAAAGGACCACTGGCATATGTAGCAAATCAGACTCATTGAGGCACAGGATCTTTTAGTTAGCATTCTAGTAATTCTGGTTCAGTCAGTAGCTTTCGTCCATTGTTAGGAGATGGTAGTGATAAACAGAGAAGGCAGCAACTAACACCAAACACTTATGAACAATGAAACATGTAACCAGTTCTGACTGCAAGAACAACAGTCCCATGCAGGTGGGTGGATCCCACAGTCTTCCTGGACCTCAGATAGAGAAGGTTTCATGCAGGAACTGAGATGTACCTCAGACCTTAAAGGATGGATGGGTGTAGTTAAAAGGTAGACAGGCGACAATGAGCTTGTGAAAGTGAATAAATCATTGTGCAATAATGATAACAGTTTTGAGCAGGAGGGTGTGGGCACTATATCTGAACAGCTGAGGAAGTCAGATAGCTTCCCCACTTCTTCTGACTCGGGTCCTCTGTGTGAGGCTGCTGACTCCCACTAAGACCGTGGGACAAGTACGTTTTTACTTTTCTCATCGCTCCTTGCAGCTAGCCATTCTCAGCCATAGACCAGCTTTATTCTTTCACACCACTCATCTGTGAATGCCCATGAATTTCATTCACACAAAAATACAAAGGACACATCGTCCTTTAAGTCGGTCTGGGAAGCTAATAAAGCTTTATAGAGTGGTGTTACCTGTCGAACCCTTATTTCATTTTTGCTATTGCATGATGGAGTTGGGAGGTCAGAGGTTGTCCCATGTTCTAGCTAAGGAAAGAAGGCCCAGAGAATCTAATCTTGAAACCACAGAGTTGCTACAGAATTTAATTGGGGAACTTGGAACAAAATTGTCTTTCTGCCACTCTTGTGCATCTTGTGGCAGTGTCTGCATTTCAACAGGGATCGCTGCCCTTGCTGAAGGCATGTGGCTCTAACTGAGGACCTTGGATGTCAGCCTGGAGAGAGAACCACTCTTTCGGAAAAGCTCTGAATCATATTACATAGGTTACTGCCTTTCTCTTCACTTTGCTTGCAAAATGTGTGATCTCAGGCAAGTGAGAGAAAATTGTGAGCTTTATTTTACCTCTCTATGAAATGGAGTAACTCCATCAACTTTACAGATTTTTTTTCTTTTTGAGAATATCCTGAAATACCACCTGACAATGTGCTTGCCACATAGTAAGCCTCGGTAAACCTCACTTGCTCTCCCCTTTCTCTTTCCCATTTTACTTTAAGTCAAAAACACAGGCCCACATGGCCCCCTGCATATTCCCTTCTTCCTGTCCCGTCTTTGTTTTTGCTCTTGCCTTTTCTCTCTCCCGCTACATCCCTGCCTCCCTTCACTTCTCAAACTAGCCAAGTATTGTCCCCTCAGTCTCTGTGTGTTGGTTCCTCTGCCCTAAACTCACTTTGCCCTACTCCTGCCTCCTTTTTGCCCTCCTCTACCTGTCAGCCAGGGACCTTTCTTCAGCAAGGACTGAAGTAGGCTCCCTGTTACTCTTTCTCACAGGATCCTATCATTTTCCTTTGTCACACTTGATACAATTTGTAAGTATATATTAATCCTATATAGGTTCACTGTCTTTTCCATTAGCCTGTGGGTTCCCATGGGAAAAGAACTATTTCTATTTTGCTTGACCGTTATTCTCTGCAACACTCACAGAGAGTCTAGCACATAGGGCATGTTCATAAGTATTTGTTGACTATGTATTGATGGATGTCTTCCTATAGTCTGTTAACTCCACAAAAAAAAGAAAGAAAAAAATTTTATAGGGTCCATGTTCTCTGACCTTTTCCTTAATTTTCTTCCCTGCAACATTTATTCATACATCAGGTTGTATTCCCTGGTTACATCAAGTTTCCTAATCACATGAGCAATTTTCCAAGGGCTAAAACTCTTTCAGGATCTGTTTTGGAATCTCCTATGAACCTATCTAATGATTGAAAATGTTCTAAGTGCTCAGTAGTTTCTTGATGAATGAATAGATTAGTCAGTCAATCCTAGCATATCCCTTTTGCACAGAGAAAATATTTACATAGCAAATATGGAGATACTACTGAAGTGAAACAATTCCTCACCAGGTCTCAGGTTCCTTCTTCTTGGGTTACTATTTTGAGTTTCAATAAGAAGCAAACAATCTTATCTTGAAAGGGAGATTGGATTTATTTTTAATAAAAAAGTATGAATTCAGAGCTTATACTTTTTTTCCTAAAATTTAATAACAACACTAGTAAAGCCCAATGCTCCTCCACTGGCCTTATTTCAGGTATAAGAGAATGAAGCTTCCAGATAAGATTTTTCCTTGATGTGAGAGCAAGTCTGATATCAGCAAATGTGTTCAAATGCACAGAAAGGCAGGGGAGGTTACACAGCAGGGGGATCTAGTTGGTGCATATTGCCACAGTCCAGGGCTGGGGGGACACATGGAGGAAAACAGCAGGTTTCTCAGAACCACTGTCCTCAACTTGCCAGCTCCAGCTGGTAACCTCAGTAAGTAAAGAAACTGGTTTTGATCTTACTCCCTTCCTACCTCACAACTAACACAAAATAAAATAAAACACACGCAAGGAAAATATATCATTGTTATGCCCAAAATGACCTGGGATCTTAACATTTGCCCTGTTATTTTAAAGCAAAATCTGCAGTTTACCAGTTGTTCAGCTAGTAAACCTCAGCTTTCTCATTTTCTAAGTACTCTTTGAATGATTCTTTTTTAAAAAAACATACATGCAAACCCACCCTTATATATGTTAGGATATATGCATCTTAATTTACTTTGATAGTTGTCTAGAAGGTTCTGTCTAGTTCCTATTTTCCCCCTAGATTCAGTAATTCACTTTATAGCATGGGCCAGGAAAAAAAGGTAAGTTTTGCTAAATTACCTGTTATATCATGAGAATTACCAAGGTTGGTATGGAGTCTGACTCTTCATGTAGCATCACTTAATCATCTTTCACTTCTTGTTGGCTTTTTGACAATCAACAGAGCCTGTAAGAGACCACTGCTGATGAATGCCTTGTCTCCATCTCAGGCCGTGGCAGTCCTGAAGGTTGATGGAGGGGCCATGCTACTCAAACAGCAGGCGTGGCTGAGACAGAAGCTTCTGGTGCTGGGAAGCCTTGCTGTTGGGAGTCTCCTGTATCTAGTCGCCAGAGTTGGGAGCTTGGATAGGTGGGTGACTAAACACATGCAAAACCCATGTGACTTTATTGTCTCTTAATGTAAACTTTCTTAGCTATAACATTAAGCGCTCTTCATTTGTTTTCATCTCTCAAAATCCCCAAGAAACATACTTTTCTGCAGTATTGAATTTGATTTATTGAGATTTTAAAAGGAGACCCATGTTGCTCAAACCAAGGTATTCCATTAAGATCCATTTGTATTGTTTATGCATTGACACTTGTTTTCAGTGAAGGGATAAAGCCATGTACAGCAAACCCTAACATTTACTAGAGCACAGTGTGGTTTGCATGCATCTGGTGTTGACCTCTAAGCCATAGCCAAACAGGGATGATGTAACTGTGTCTCTTCCTTTTGAAATTTATGAGTGGACAATTAATGTGCTCTCAGGAACATTAAAATTATGTATGTGCCTGTAAAGAAGCTCATCAAGTTTGCAATCCATTGCCCTGGAAAGATGGCTCCAGGCATGGATTTTTAACCATGTTAATTAGCTCTGGTTTGCAGGAACAGAACATACCAGACAAGGAGGTTGTCATTCAAAGTAATTGCCCAAAAGGCAATGAAAAATCTATCGAGAAGAAATTACAGAGCTAGAGTTTGGCTCTAAATAGGCAAACAGTTAAGAGGTGCTGGACCTGCAGAAGTCCCAGCCATATGAGCTTACTAGCCGTTAAATTATCTTGGACTATTTTGTATCCAGTGTGATTGGCAAGCACAGAGGAGTTAATTTCTTTCTTTGCCCTTTAAAATTAATTCTTCTACTGGAAAGATTCAAGTATGTTCTCTCTGAGTTCAGTTCCCATTGTCAATGAAAATGAAGCCACATTTTGAGATGAAAATATCCTCTTTTCATTTTTCTTTCCAAAACTTAAGCGAATCTGTAGACCTTGTCATTTGGATATTTAAAAATAATATAACAATGATCCTTATTTTCCTTCAGCTAGTGTCAATTTTGATGCTTTTCAATTCGAAATCCCTGAGTAAACCTCCCACTCACTAGTTGTCACCTGTGGGAAAAGTTTAGTTGAAAACTTACCACTTGAGATCAGTACCTCAAGTAGTTTCCTAAAGTAGTTTCATGTAGTTATTAGTGAAAAGCCTTAAGGTAGCACTATTGTCCTGTGTCCATAAGGGAACTTTTATATCAAGTTCTTCTTAATACCTCCGGTTAGCTTCCACTCATTTACTTTGTATTAAGTAATTTTTCTAATGATGATTAACACATTCATTACTTAGTTAACGTTATGTTCATTTTAGCCTGCTCTCTAGTCTCTAATTGGATAACTGTTATAAGGAATTGGATTGTTTGGTGAGCTTTCTGAAAACTCCTCTTGAGAAGTAGAACAGATTATGTCTGAAATTGATCCGTGCTTACTTAGGTTTACCCTTTAGTAACTGAAGACCCTGCTATCTGAGAAAAGAGCTGAGGTTACTTGAACTGTTCCTTTCAATCTTAGAATTGTATGGATTTTAGTCAGGGATCAATGATCAGAATCTGCTCTTCAGGAAATGGAAAAAAATATGATATTTTCTTCTGTCATTACATGCTTTCTTGAGTTGAGGAGTTCAAAAAGCATTTGTTCTGCAGGGCATGATCTCCAGAGCAGAAAGAGGAAGAAAGTAAAAAAGGAGGTAGAAAAATTTTATTCCAACTCAATTGGAGAAGAGAAACCTATGTCAGGGTTCTGTGAAAGAAGGATTTGAGTGACTGTTTCCTCCATTCTCCCAAGGACAATATTAGCATCATTCGAAATGCTTAGGAGAGAAGTCTATCCATTAATGCTTTAGCAAATTAGGGCTTAATTCCCAAATGGAACCCAAGAAAAGCTGAAAGACAAACTTATCCTAATCCACATCACAATTGAAAACATCTTTGACTATGCATCTGTTAATAATTTTTTATCTTCCATTTAGAGCCCTAGCATATTCGTGGCACTTATAAATTTCTAAAAATAAAGTTCATGTTTTTCTGAAATATTAACTCTGACAAACACTACATTTCTAACAGTTTTCTATATTTTAATACTTTTCAAAATGAATACAAATTGTTTTAAACTGTTTAAAATAATTTTAATTGTGTGTGCCAGTGGCTCACACCTGAAATCTTAGCTACTCAGGAGGCAGAGATCAGGAGGATTGTGGTTCCAGGCCAGCATCAAGGGGAAGAGTGAGATCCTATCTCAAAAACACCCAACAGTAAAAAAGGCTGGTGCAGTGGCTCAAGTGTTAGAGCACCTGTCTAGCAAGAACAAGCCCTGAATTCAAACCCCAGTAATGCCAAGAAAAAGTTACATGAAAGTAATACCTGTTTATACTTTTCCTTAAGCATCATAATAAAGAGCTATTTAAATATAGCAAGACCAAGACTATTCCACTAAGTTATACAGAATAGGCTGAGCATGGTTTTGAGATACACTAGTGTCTCTTGGGAAAAGGAAGTGGCTGCCTCATTGAAACAGAGATGAAAACAGACTCCAAAATACTGTGATAACTAGAAACTTTCATTTGGAGAGATTGGTTTAACAACCATTTTCCCAACAAGACTAAAATGCCTTCCCAGATCAACTTAGGAAATTATAATGAATTTCAGTTCAGTTTCCGACTATGTAAAACTCCATTTGATAACTATATATTGCCTATGCCAAATTAAGCAGTCACTCTAGTCTGATATCTAGTGGCTAATACCACATCTTTCTCTCTAAAGAAAAGCAGAGATGGTTGTTCAGTATTTCAGGTAATCTTAAAAGTGGAAACCCACCTTCCTGGCTCTATCTATTTGCGTTCCTTCCTTTATGAATGCTAATCCCTGACTTAAATGTGTTTGGCACTGAGGTCTCTGGCCCCATCATGGTCTTGTTGACTTATGATCTAGGTGTGGTAGGTAATATACAGTACTTGCTCATGGTAATTGGTTTGTTGCCACATTCAGCAAAATGAAAATATAATACTGACCTCTTTCAAAAGAAAGAGAAAGAGAGGCAGAGGAAATACAGTACTTTTCTGGCTATCTCCAAGGTTAAGGGCAGAAATTCTCAAAGAATAAGAAGTGCAGCAAGTGCTAAGATTAGAATTTTATAGGATGGTGATGCAAATAGCCAAGGGAAGATTTTGGGAACCTGTTTTCAAATTATATCACAAAGATTTTCAATGGTCATGTGAGTGCTGCTGAAATACAAGAAAATAATACCACATAAACTCAGAACAAATAGCCTCCTCTCTGTCCTTCAGCCTTCCAGCTGAAGATTATAGTCTTCTGCCTTTCACATCTTCTAAATGATTTGGACTGGTGAGCTGTTAAAACAAAGTTATTAGTATGGTTGGTGTCACTTGTCTATCCTGTGCTGCGAGCATAAGTACACGCTGTAGTCAATTAAGTGCTTGGTGAATAAAAATTTTAAGGAGCACTAATAAAAAAATCCCATCAATTATGTGTGCTCCATTTAATATAGGGTTACTTAAAATAAAATTTCCCAAACATATGTTCATTATGAATTGCAGCAGGCTGGGAACCAGTGGCTTTCTTTGTGCATTTAAAGTCTTAGTCTGAGAAAGCAGAACAATGAGAGGTTAGTCGCCATGAGTTTCTTACAGTGTCTCTCTGTTGTTTACAGGCTACAACCCATTTGCCCCATTGAAGGCCGAGTTAGTGGAGCCCACAATCAGGCTGAATTCCCACTCCGTGCTCTGCAGTTTAAGCGTGGCCTGCTGCATGAGTTCCGGAAGGGCAACTCTTCCAAAGAGCAGGTTCCTCTCCATGACCTGGTCCAGCAGCTCCCCAAGGCCATTATCATTGGAGTGAGAAAAGGGGGCACAAGAGCCCTGCTAGAGATGCTGAACCTCCATCCAGCAGTGGTCAAAGCCTCTCAAGAAATCCACTTTTTTGACAATGATGAGAATTATGCCAAGGGCATTGACTGGTATAGGAAAAAGATGCCTTTTTCCTACCCTCAGCAAATCACAATTGAAAAGAGCCCAGCATATTTTATCACAGAGGAGGTTCCAGAAAGGATTTACAAAATGAACTCATCCATCAAGCTCTTGATCATTGTCAGGGAGCCAACCACAAGAGCTATTTCTGATTATACTCAGGTGCTAGAAGGGAAGGAGAGGAAGAACAAAACATATTACAAGTTTGAGAAGCTGGCCATAGACCCTAATACCTGTGAAGTGAACACAAAATACAAGGCAGTAAGAACCAGCATCTACACCAAACACCTGGAAAGGTGGCTGAAATACTTTCCAATTGAGCAATTCCACATTGTCGATGGAGACCGCCTCATCACAGAACCTCTGCCAGAACTTCAGCTAGTGGAGAAGTTCCTAAATCTTCCTCCAAGGATAAGTCAATACAATTTATATTTCAATGCTACCAGAGGGTTTTACTGCTTGCGATTTAACATTATCTTTAATAAGTGCCTGGCAGGCAGCAAGGGACGCATTCATCCAGAGGTGGACCCCTCTGTCATTACCAAATTGCGCAAATTCTTTCACCCTTTTAATCAAAAGTTTTACCAGATCACTGGGAGGACATTGAACTGGCCCTAAAATAATATGCCATACCGCACTATGTGTTGTGCCTGGAGATACACAATGTCTCCTTTAGATTAAAATATGCACTTTTCCTATCCAAGTCATTTTTCCATGTATACTTGTACATATGCAGTGTGTGACCAAATATAAGATTAGTTCTTTTTCTACTGAAAATTTACAAAGAAAATAAATTTCTGTCTGCCTAGTTGCATCTTTTAAGCTATTTACAAAAATGAAGAGGTGGTGGTATTGGGGGAAAGTGGCTTCAGCTATTCTCAAAGAGTTAGTCTTCCTTTGATCCAGAATTTATCACCTGCCATTTTCATAGATTTAAGCCAAAAGATGAACGTGTGAAAATGTACCAATGGCTGTGAAACTTCAGGAAATAGAGGATTCAGTTATGCATTTTGTTTTTTCCTAAGGGAAAGCTGGCTCTTTAATTCAATGTTGAATTGGTGTCATGAAAACAGAAAACGCTATTTTCTTATTATTTGAAAGAATGTCTTCTCTCATGAAATTGACCTTGTTCCAAAGTTTCTGTGGTGATTTTGCACTATTGTTTCCTCGTATGGACCATCGTGTCACTTGTAGCATGTCAATCACATGTTGGAAAGTCAAGTCCTTTTACTTCCATGTTGTATACCAACAAAGAGAAGCATCGTGTACATAGTGTATATTGTTGTAAATACTGGTTTCATACTAAGTAATTCTATTTTGTAAACTGAATATGGTTATTTAATTTATTGTGAAAATTAAATTTATTGTGGTATTTAAAATGGAATGGATTAAAATAACTCTATGTGCAACTATCTTTTAAACTCATTTTGTTTTATGTGCCCCCTACTGGTTTATGTGTCTGGGGGCACTTGGAAAGATTCTCTTCTCCATTGAATTTCCATATCTATGTGAAAATCTGCTTACAAAATGAGGCTGAGTATACTCTTACAAAATCATAACCGTGTGGAAATCAAGTAATAATAGCCACCTCAAATAACCCTGTTGGTTCTCTGCTACAATTCTGTAACTATTAATTTACTTGCCAGTACTACTGTACCAGAGAGAGTGAAGAAATATATTAACAGAATCAAGGCATAGAAGTATCACAGATTTATTTGAACTTCTAATCAAAGTTAGACCAGCAGAAAAATTAAATTAAATAAGATTAGAAAACTTGTGTGGTCTATGATATTGTAGCTGCTTATGATTCAAAAATGAATATTTTTGAGCTCTCAGAACTCTCTACTTTAGATGAATATGTATCAATCTGCTCAGAAATGATCAAATCACATAACAGTGCTATGACTAACCAAAGTATAGACTCATATTTCCACCCAGAGAAATTAATGCTGAATTGGGTGCTTCACTAACATCAGGAACACTATATCATGCTTAAATATAATTCAAAAAATTGTGGAAAGATGTACAACAAAAAGATGGATTTTCCACAACCATAGTTGATTCTCCAGTGGGAGGTAATTGAGAGGATTTTGTTCAGCATCACATACAGTGCTTAGAGAAATCGGCAGATTACAATGTTACTATTGTAATAAGCGTTGATTTTTCTCTATCAGTTGTTTATCCTAGTCAGTGATTTGATGGTGAACTTTCCTACATAAATAGCCCTTTCCACTCCAGTTTCAATATATATTGCCTCTCAAGACACATCCTTGGTAATCATAACTTCTGCCTGAATTAAAGTGATGCTGTGTCCTCAGCAGTACCCACTGGCAGATGACTTCTTGCTTACTGTACGATTCTGGAGGGAAAGTCTTGGAGCTAATGGTCAGTCCTTCTCCCCTAGACCATGAAGGAATTCAATGTAAGGAGCCTGGTTTCATCTTCCCATGCCTCAACACACAGTTAACCATCAGAGTAAACTTTCCAAATACTATATTCCAAGACATAAAGACTAGATTAGCTTTACTTTTACAAAAAGCACTCCTAGAGCACTATGCGACTAATATAGTTTTGTACCAGTGACTGCCAAATTATGTCCAACTGGAATGCTGATGTTTCAAAAATTCAGCCTAAGCTAATAAACTGAAATTTCTCAGTTTTTATAACACCAATTTTTCTTTTTTATTTACTTCTCATTATATATTGACAAATTAATTTTATTTATGGGGCACAAAGTGACATAATGATTTTGTAATACAATGTGGGATTATTAAATTAAGCTAATATATCTATCATCTTAAATACTTAAAAATTTTTCAGTGGGAACATTAGAAATTTAGTCTTAGTGATACTGAAATATATAATTATCAACTGCATTCAGCATGCTGTCCTTAATCAAAAAAAAAAACAGACTTAATCTTGTTCCCTAATAGAAGCTTTGTATTGCTACATAAAGTGTATACCCCAGTTTACTCTAAGATTCTATTTGACTTAGGCCAACTTTCATAATTTGTTAAGTTTTAGCTCAAAAAGCCAGTATGCTGTAATCATATTCAGGAAAACAAAAAGCACTGTGATTTCAAGTTGTTCTACTTCCTAAATAATTAAAGAATTGTTCTAAATCTTGAAGCTTTCCCACAGAGACCAAAAGCAAGAGGTCTAGCATGGCAAAATTTTTTGGGTGATATGCTTTGTTTCACTGAAAAAGCAGTTACAGCCACTGCTGACTAAGCCAGGTGGAAAAAATTAAGTATCTTAGAACTTAATGGCATACCTCCACTGGAGATTTAAAAACTCCTTGTTCAGAAAAATGTTTCCTATTGTCATCAGACAGGCAACAGACCTCTGGAGAAATCCTAGCTCATTACAGTCACTCCTGTAGGGCTCTCTTTAATGAGTTACTTCTTTTACTTCATGAACACCTTGCATTCCTTCCGGAGGCTTGCCAGCACCACACAGCTTTGTCAAATGATTCCAAGTGCAGCAAGAACAACTGTTTAAGCAATGATGAAAATTCCCATGAATCATAAGCTGAAACAACACCATTTTGAAACACGAGGAATTCCAATTATAATTATAAAAACAGCCCAAGATAGGGAGAGAAATTAGGAAGCTGAGAGATAAAAGAGACATTCAAACCTATTTGATGTACATCCTCAAGCTCCAAGTATCACCAACCATCACTACACATAAACCTTCACTTTATTAAGGTAATTTTCCTAACAATCATAGTATAGTTTAAGAGAAATCTAAGATATTTTGATACTTGGTGGATTAGTGTATGATAAATCAACAGCTTGTAAATCCCCCATAATTGCCTTTGATTTTACATTTTGTACCTTCTGTGTTGATGGACCAGCAAGAACAGTCAGTTACCAGGCCAGGTGCTATTCTTAAAGCTGGTGGAGCCTTGTGGGAGACTTGATCGTGTGTTACACCTCAAGGACCCATGAAGAATATGATCGGGGACACTGAAGACATGCTTCCACTAAAGGGATGCAAAACCAAGGACAAGTGTGGTGCAAATTCCAGGTCTGCTAATATGCATTTGCTTTGTCCAATTAGCTGTTCGTTAAGTTGGATTTCCTTCATACACCTAATTCAAGAATTTTGCAGGGATAGAGAATTCCAAATGATTATAATGTCTTCTTGCTGGAGTCTTTTGAATTCTTTTTTGCACACTTACAGCCATTTTCCACTAAAAAGAATAGTCTAAAATCTAAGCAAAACAGAAAATTTTGCAGAAAATGTTCCCACTAAAAATGGCTAAATACAGCAAAATCTTAGTGACTTGCGCTAACTAGGTATAAATGTAGAAAATTTTAAAATAAATTCATTGCAACTACTGCCAAATAGACAATGTGTCAAACTATACTAGCAATATATTGAAAAACAAATACTCAATTTTCCCTGCTTTACTAAATAAACACCTCTTAGCTGGAGGATTAGGAGTTTTTTTCCCACAAGTATTTCAAAATACCCTATCCTCTTAAGTAGGTTATTCAGGTCCCCTAGTACCTGTTTACCAATTTTTATAGTAAGCTGTTCTTTTATAGATAGTGTGAGAGTGAAATTTAGGACAAAATATGATCACTTGGTAAGTTTCTGATTAATGGTATATTCTACATATATCACAAAACCAATTTTTTGTATTTTAATAGAAATTTTTAAAGATTTTTTTCAAATTATATTTGATTTTACATTCTATGAATAAGGGTGCTATGTAATAATAATTAGAAATGGATTTGGTAGTTGAAAAGACACAACTAAATGGATAGCAGCATTCATCTCCCATAGAGAGCATCTGATTGATATTCCAAGAGCAATTAGCTGTTATTTAAAGGTAACTCAGTTGAAAGGCAAGACTCTTCCAGTCATGTTAAGTAGGCATTAGAATGCTTGGTACCTTACCAGGTTAGTTCTGCCATGAATTTATGAGCCACATAGTCTGCTAGATATTGAGATCCATTGGTGAAAAGATTTATTATCTCTAAGAACATGTGTTATCCCCCATCAAAAATAGCCTACCAAGAGGATATAAAGATATGTATTGAAAGCTTCTGAAAAATAGGGAAGTGGAAGGTAAAGGGGTAAGGGAGAGTAATGGAAGGGGTTGAATGGACCAAAGTAAAGTATACTCACAGTGGAGATACATTGAGGAACCCCTTTGAACATCTACTTAAATATTAGTAATAAAAGATAGGACTGTAAAACAGGTACAGTGTATGGGGGTACTTGTGGGAGGAGGAGGGTGAATGAAGGAGATTAAGGTGAGAGTATATGGTTTATGGACTTCATATACTTAAATGAAACAGAACAAAGAAACCTCTTGCAACTGCTTAAGTGGAGCAGGGAGTGGATCAATGAGGGGAGATGTTGAGGTGATATAACCAAATTACAACACAAGCCTTGGAATTGTCACAATTAATCCCACCATACAACAAAGATATCCTAACAAAATGATATTTAAAAACTAAAAATCAATAAATAAAAATAACTTACTAAATAGGTGAGTTGCTCCCAATAGACTGGTTACACCTTGCTTATTTCTAAATGCACATGCCTCTGCTTTGTGTTTCCTTTCCATTAATGACACTAAAGTATAATGTTTAAAGCCAACTTGCAGAACTATGTTTACCATAGAAATTCTATGGTAAGACCACACTAAAAGTCACCTAAATTTTAGACATAGACTGCAAGAGAACTTGTAATTGCTGCATGTCAGGCCCTAGCCCTGAAAATAACCTTAATACAACTATTTAGGAATAAAAATTTCTGTGAGGCACCAGTGGCTCATGTCTGTAATCCTCACTACTCAAGAGACAGAGGTCAGGAGAATCGTGGTTCAGAGCCAGCCCAGGCAAATAGTTCACAAGACCCTATCTTGGAAAAAACCCATCTCAAAAAAGGGCTTTGGTGGAAGGAGAGAGGTGGCAAGGAAAGGGGTAGGAGGATGGATGTAGTGCAAATAATGTATTCACATGTATGTAAATGCAAAAATGATATCTGTTTAAACTGTTCCAGGACTTAGGGGAGGGAGGATAAAAGAGAGTCATGGAAGGGTGAATTCAAGTATGACATATTTGATACATTGATCTGTTCAATTCATTTGCCCATTTCTTTATTTGGGGGAGTTTAGTTTTTTGAGCTCCCTGTATATTCTGATTATCAGTCCCTTGTCTGATATATATCTAGCAAAGACTTTCTCCCATTCTGTGGGTAGCCTCTTCAATTTAGAGACCATTTCTTTTGCTGTGCAGCTTTTTAATTTCATGTAGTCCCATTTGTCAATCCTTTCTCTTAGGTGCTGAGTTGCTTAAGTTCTACTGAGGAAGTACTTGCCTATTCCTATTGCTTCCAGAGTATTTCCTGCTCTCTCCTATACAGGCTTCAAGGTTTCAGGTCTGATATTAAGGTCCTTAATCTGCTTTGAGTTGATACTTGTACGGGATGACAAACATGGATCTATTTTCAGTTTTCTGCAGGCAGATACCCAGTTTTCCCAGCAACATTTGTTGAAGAGGCTGCCTTTTCTCCATCATATGTTTTTGGCATATTTGTCAAAAATAAGGTGGGCATAGCTATGTGGATTCATATCCAGGTCCTCTGTTCTGTTCCCCTGGTCTTCATATCTGTTTTTGTGCCAGTACCATGCTTTTTTTATTGCTATGGCTCTGTAGTTTATTTTGAAGTCAGGTATTGTGATACCTCCAGCATTGTTCTTTTTGATCAGTATTGCTTGGGCTATTTGCAGTCCTATGTGTTTCCAAATAAACCTTAGGGTAGATTTTTCAATCTCTGTGATGAATGTCATTGGGATTTTGATGGGAATTGCACTGAACATGTAGATTGCTTTTGGTAGTATACATTTTTACTATGTTGATTCTACCAATCCATGAGCACGGGAGATCTTTCCACCTTCTACTGTCTTCTTCAATTTCTTTCTTAAATGACTTGTAGTTTTCCTTGTAGAAGTTATTCATATCCTTTGTTAAGATTATTCCCAAGTATTTGATTTTTTGAGGCAATTGTAAATGGAATTGTTTTCCTATATTCTTTTTTAATCTGTTCATTGTTGGTGTATGGAAATGCTACTGATTTTTGCAAGATAATTTTGTATCCTGCCACATTGCTAAAGCTCCTTATGGTATCTAGAAGTTTTTGCATCTTTGAGGTATAGGATCATATCATCATTGGTGAAGAGGGACAGTTTAGCCACTTCTTTACCTGTTTCTATTCCTT